TTCTTTCTTTCTTTCTTTCTTTCTTTCTTTCTTTCTTTCTTTCTTTCTTTCTTTCTTTCTTTCTTTCTTTCTTTCTTTCTTTCTTTCTTTCTTTCTTTCTTTCTTTCTTTCTTTCTTTCTTTCTTTCTTTCTTTCTTTCTTTCACACAGCACAGAATAAATAAAGAAAATAAACTATATGAAAGTGAATAAACAACATGAATTAATTCATGGGTGAATTGTCTCTTTAAGCATACTTAATCTTGCAAATGAGGGCCACGTTTTAGAAAGAGATCTTGTTGCACCCCGGTGTCCTTACCAATTAGACTAAAAATAAACTCATAAAATTAGACCATGCAACAGCTGCTGGGGCTGGACAGTGGCCAATGGGAGACTCTTGACCATCCATTCATTGCTTGCAGACAAATACAGATCTGATTGAACTCTGGATCTGCATTTGATGTGCATTCATAAGTAAAATTATAATGCACTGTATGTGGGTTATTTTTGAAAAATAAATCCTGACAAGACAAAACAAATGTTGTAACAATATACAGTAGGTTAATATTAATATTATACTTTCATGTTCAGTGCAATCAATAAGGGAGACGCATGGCGCCAGTTGGGTTGTAACAAGAGAAAGCAAGTCTGTGGTGTGATATGAGACACAAGGTGGTGTAATGAACAATCAGGTCCCACTAGAATATCCAGAGATAGTTGTTGAAGCTATCAGTTCTCAAATTACATAAGAAGCTTTTTTAAATGTAATTCTGTTCACTTCATAGTTTTCATTTAACAGATGTGCACTGTATAACGCCAAAATATTTTAGTACAAATGTAACATTTCTTTAATTATATTTTAATTAAAACAATAAAAAAAAATGTTAAAATAAAAATATTTATTCATTCATTCATTCATTTTTATTTAATTTAAAAAAAAAAAAAATTTTCATGGGAACAAGGTTATGCCAGGACAATCCTCTACAACCTCAAATTAAAGGACTCTATGTAAAATATCTAATAAAGAACATGGGATTTAAAAGAAATGCAAAGTTTTGTCATGAAATTCAAGATCATGTTCATGTTGCATACACAACCAATGAGCTTGCTGCTTTACATTTAAATGGGTGGTTAGTATGCACTAGAGCAGTGGTTTTCAAACCTCTCCATGAAGTAAACCCAGCACGGCACATATGTCTCCCTATATCTGACACACCCACTTCAGGTCTTGCAGTCTCCACTAATGAGCTGATGAGTTGAATCAGGCGAAGTGAAAAAAAGTGAAGTGACATGTGGCCAAGTATGGTGACCCATACTTGGAATTAGTGCTCTGCATTTATCCCATCCAAAGTGCACACACACAGCAGTGAACACACACCCGGAGCAGTGGGCAGCCATTTATGCTGCGGCGCCCGGGGAGCAGTTGGGGGTTCGGTGCCTTGCTCAAGGGCACCTCAGTCGTGGTATTGAAGGTGGGAGAGAGCGCTGTACATTCACTCCCCCCACCTACAATCCCTGCCGGTAAGAGACTCGAACCCACAACCTTTTGGTTTATGAGTCCGACTCTCTAACCATTATCTAACCACGACTTCCCCCACACTTTCAGAGGTGTGATAGACGAGGGAGACATACAAAATTTGCAGGGCTGGGGGTACTTCAGGACAGGTTTGAAAACCACTGCACTAGAGCATTTCACAGCACACTTTCAGAGTTCCTCTGAAACCCTCCACATTCCCCAGACTGCCTACCTGTATAGATCTGCTTTGGGTTATTATATGCTATTTGTGCAGCAGCAGTATGTCTTAAATACTCACAGAACCATATCGGCATATGTTATTCTTTGGGTCTATTCCCTCCACGGAGACCAGTGCGCTGGAAGTGAAATGTGACAACATGCCCCATGAAACATCTGAGGGGCACGTTGTTATTTATATATATATATATATATATATATATTCATTTAAGTTTAACACAAAACTAATAGATGAGCCAAACTGTTTTACATTTCTTGAAATAATAATTCCTGAACATTGAAAATTGACTATCATTCTTTATTCACTTGTTTCACATGGATTCTCATTAACATTCATGAAAGTAATTAGTGTAAATTACATCACTAATCTATAGTATAGCATAGGTTTAATAATAACGGGCACATTGTAATGCAGTGTTACAATGTTCCCCATCTGCACAACTGGAATTTAACACTGGTTAGTGTCTTTTGCTAGTTAGCGAAGCATTAAATAACTTCCTAAACTGCTAAATAACAAATTGGAGATTAAAATAATAGCAGATTTGTCTCATGATAAATAAACACTAAAAACTGAGATGAAAAATTTACTTCAGCCAGAAACGTACTTTTGCTATGGTTAAATAAATGTTCAGCGATATCTTCAAAAGATTATGAATTTTGGCACAGTTTCTTTCTTTAGATAGTGTTGATATTGCAACTAGTAAATACTGTACATTTTGTTACGTTAGCATGTGTGGAAATCTTTAAACCATGGTTGTTACTAACCCTGCTTTAGTTTGTGCCCCACACACCTCTATTTCATGATAAAATTGACAGAATTTGAAAACTGATAGGGCATACTTTGTTTCAAATTAAAAGTAACAAAGCACAAAGCTTATTGTGATTGACATTGGATGACAGGTGCTATAAATATTGTTTAGTGAAATTCATGCATCAGCTGAAAATTTACCTGTTGTAGTTTATCCACATTGCGTGCACGTTATGAAACATGACATTGAAGAATTAAACATTGTTTTGGTCAATGATTTTGGCCTGCAAAAATAAATAAATAAATATTTTTTAAAGACAAATTTATTTCAAAGTTTGCATAATCTGATATCAAACATTAAAGCATAATCTGTATGTATGTATCTGTTTGTAGTCTTTGTGGGGGGCAAAACATCAAATGCAATGTGTATAGATGATTGAGAGATGTACAAATAACCATTTCTCAAAAGCCTGAAGCACACAGCAAAAATATGTGTTTCATGACCTGAAGGAGGATTTAAAAATATATATATTATGAAAAGCCTTTTAGCTATAATCGTTTATAATCAATCAGATGACAAAGGGCAACTAGGCTAAATAACCATGCTGACAATATAGAGGCCTTAGAAATTCATGTATTGAATATGATACAGTAAGTTTAAAAATATATAAATAAGTAAAGTTGAAAAAAGGTTGAAAAACAGAATAGAAATGTCGATATATTAATTGAAATCACTGTCCAAGATGCAGCTGCATGCTTAGTGGTAAAATAAAAAAATAAAAAAAATTGGTCTGGAAACATTTTGATTTTATAGGGGGTACCTCTAAACTTGGCAACTCATCAACAATTTTGAATCATTTGGCACTTAGTAGGGCTGCACAATTAATCGAATTTCTAATCGCGATTACAATTATGGATGCCACAATTACGTAATCGTTCAAAGTCCTCATGTTATTCTGTGTGCTTAAGATGTGTTTTTTCTTTCTACATGTTATCTTAAGGGTTTTTCCATTGTTTTCATTTTAGTTTTATCATACCATTCATATTTTTACGTTTTTTTTTTATAATTTAAAGAAGAAACCAACGTATAGTTGACATTTGAGGCTTAATACTATTGAAAAGCACTAAAAGTTTTTCAGTTACAGTGTTTTCAGCTTGTTTATTTTCATATAAAATATGGCATGCCGTTGCATCAAACAATGGTATAAACATCATTCAATGTAAATTGTGATAATCGTAATTAATAATCGCAATTACAATTTCAAGGGAATAATTGTAAATTATGATTTTTGTCATAATTGTGCAGCCCTAGCACTTAGTTATTATAGGGAAGCAAACATACTATACTATTATTCTCAAACAGGCATTCAAGAACAAAAGCAGATTCATTATGTCTGAAACGCTGTAAAACAGCAATAAAAATGGATTTCAAATGACATGCAATACTGCTGAACCTCAAAACTATAGCTTGGTGCAAAACTGAATCACATCTCCCAATGCTAAAAATAACCAAATTAATTAATTTAGGTATTGTCAACGTCTCCGTGCAGATGCAGGAATTTCAGGATACAGGAGGAAACCGGAGAAGGTAGAGTCATTGGTGTTATCTGCATACACTCCCCCAAATGCCTCATCTCCATAGACTTGCAGCCATACCTCATCTCCTGCCTCCAAACGCAAGATAACAGAACCTGATGCCTGATCCACGTTGGCCTCTTGGTATTGGTCAAAGGTGAACATGATGGTCTTGTCATTCATGTAGAGACTGACTTTTGCATCTTTAGTGTAGACGGTGAGATGATAAGTAAAGAAGTACACTCCTGGCAGAGCACAGCGGAACTTTCCGGAAACGTCATCATAATGATGCTGGTCATTGTAGAAGAACTTGTTGAAGCGGATTGGCACATTGGTGGTGGGAACAAGCTCACTCAGACCTACGCTAAAGGCTGAATGGTAAGACAAAGCACTTTCACCACGGGCCCCTTTCAGACCTGGGTTCCCAGGAAAGCCTCTTGGTCCAGCAGGGCCAATGTCTCCCTTCTGTCCAGGATCTCCTTTCGCACCTGCTTCACCTGCAAAAAATAGAATCATTATATACTTTAGCAGTCGTACAACTCAATTAAATAGGTTGTTACAAGATCAGAATCAGAAGCCTGGAAGGATCCTAGTGCTTTGGCTTTTGATGTCTTACTTCCCTAAGATCATTCATGGGCTTCGTACAAGTTTGCCACCTCAAACATGACTCCTCAGAGACAGGGTCTGGGCTGCAATGCTTGTTTTCTGACCCTGTCTCCAGCTGGGACTATATGAGCAGAGTCAGAGGAGAGGACTGAAGGACCCTGACCATGGCAAGGGATGTGCAGCTCAAATGCCGCCGACATAACCTTCACCTTCCTTAACTTCTGGACCACAGTCTCAAAGGTGGTGCCAAAAAGACAAAAATGTGTGATTGGGGCATCAAGGAGCAAATATCTTTCTTTCTCTTTGAGCCCTAAAAGGATAAGCCAAAGATGTTGCTCTGTGGCCCAGCCTACCTACCTGGTGGCACAAAGGGCAAAGACCCTCAAAAGTTGGGCCTGATAGGCCTGCAACAACAGCATGGTGTGCAGCGCACCACCAGCCTGTTGGCCACTGTGTAAGCCTTGGCCATGAGCCTTGATGTAGTCTGACAGGGCTTTGAGGGCAAGGTGGGTGCCTTTCATGAAAATGCAACTGGATGTAGAAGAGGCAGGAACACGGGCTGAGTACAGTTTCTCCCACAATCTCACCAATTCCTGGTAAGGATCGAGGAGAAATGGCTCACCGTGGGGAGCATTTATGGCTTGTGAGGAAGCTTATCAAGCCTGCTTTTAGCTGATTCCTCTCTCTGCCAATAAGTATAACTTTAGCCTGGCCAAGGTGGGGGCCATAATCTCCACCAACTCATTGTAAGCAGGTTCAAGGGAGGAGGCGAGCTCACTGGATACTTCTGCCTCTTTTCCCAAAACATCTAGCTCCTCAGAGCTAGACTGGGCCAATTGCATGCTCTTCGCCAGATCATAGAGGCCACCGAGTGGGCTTCCAGATCAGGCATGAGAACAGCGGAGCTAGCGAGGGATGGCTGAGAAAAGGCCAAGCCTGCTTCAAGCTCCTTTGGCAGCTCCATCTTCGAATCTATTATCGAAGTCACCGCCCATCCCCCTAAAAGAGAGCCGGGCAGGAGAAGAGCTTCCTCACTGTGAGCACACCCAGCTCCCTTGAGAGCTGACTGAGCGTGTTACAATCCTAGGCAGATGATACAAATCCTGTGTGTCACCTGGTGTAATCTTTCACATGGCATGACATCTTCTAAACCTCCTTTCCATTTTGATTTGAAACAGACCCTTTATATTCCAAACAAACACACACAGAGGTCGAGATTTTCACATGCACACACAGGAATCTATTATCGAAGTCACCGCCCATCCCCCTAAAAGAGAGCCGGACAGGAGAAGAGCTTCCTCACTGTGAGCACACCCAGCTCCCTTGAGAGCTGACTGAGCGTGTTACAATCCTAGGCAGATGATACAAATGGCTTCCTGAAGACAAAGATGCTGGGGATTCCATGACATGTGACCTTTTATGACACTGCTTACGTCATGCTCTGTCATGTCACTGCCATCAGCCAACTGAACTGACGTATTTGCAGACATGCTTCAGATGCCAGCAACACCGGAGGAATTGCCATAGCATCAACACTGACTGAAGTTCCACTTTGAAAGATAAACATTTTAGTTTTATAGATTACAAATTATATAATTGAGTGCATTTGTCGATAAGTGTGGTTTCCCCATTTTTTCAGTGTACCCTATATCAATGGCTTTTTACCACTTAATTTCACCATAAACAAAAGCTTCATCAGCATACGATAAATAATTCTTATTTAGAAAAAAACAAAAACATTTAGTTTTCAGTCAATTTTTACTTTAAGTTAATTAATTTATTTATTTCAGTCGGTAAAGATCAACACTCTGATGTGAAGCGAAAATACTATTTAAACATTTATGTTTAATGTTTGATTATTGGATAACATTATTTACACTGCCCTTATCTCTTGTGGCCTATTTCACAAAGCTGGTTTTGGTAGTAGGGAGTTTCCAGATATTTTCTAGGATCAAAGCCTGAGCTGACAAGAAAAGCTGATGATTAGTGCAATGGTACCGACAAAGCCTGGTTGGATTGGTTTTGGTTTTGTGTGTTCTGTTACCCTGAGTTTGTTCAACTAACTTCATGGTACAGGCCTCATCTAAATTGGGTTGGATTTGTTTGTTTTTCAACTCTAAACCTACTCTGAAACTAAGAGTTTGTTTAAATAGCTTTGTGTAACAAGCCATTGGTAAAGACCTGAAACCAAGATAAAAGGTGGTTTCAGACATGGAGCAACATGAATCATTCACAAAAACAACACCAGTAACATTAAGAAAATTAAGAGAGAAATTTTGAAGGGGGGTCTATAATTATTTGTTCACAGATGTCACTTACAGAAGTCAGAAGCACTGTATGTTTCAGACAAATGATCTAGCAAAGTTCCAAACTGTATAAAGTGAGCATACTCTAACCTTTATCTCCTTTCTCACCCCTCAGTCCATCACGCCCATCTCTGCCATCTCTTCCAGGTTTTCCACTGTGCCCAGGTGTGCCAGGAACACCTCCCATCCACATGGCACATGGCTGTCTATGATCAGGTTGACTGACATCTGTTCCCAGACCCTCAGGCTCTTCCACGTCCTCTCCTCCCTCAGTCCCTTCATCCAACACTGTCTGCTCTTCATGCTCCTCTAGAAGGTCTTGACATTGACTGAGTCGTCCAATGAGAAAGATTCCCAATAAGATCTTCCATAGCAGCGTCATACTAATGTCAAATGAAATATCCAAGAATTGAAATAAGCATTTTGTACTTATAAATATGTTTGTGTTGTATGTCATATATAAAACATGAGATGTTGCACTTCCCAAAGTATCAGTTGTTTCACTTTTTGTTAAGACTTTTGAACACAATGTTATAACTTAACTCTAAACCTAAACTGCTTGATGCGATTGGAAATTTCAAAACATTTTAGTGATGTCAAACCTATATTTGCTGATATATAGACTATATTAAAATAATGCTATGAAAACCTGGCTTTCTTACCTGGTCTGTAAGTGTAAGTCTTGCAGAAGGACAGAACATTAAGAACAACCACTGAGCGATGCAACTGCCTTTGTTGGTGATGTGCTGTCATCACTGTGGACTTTTCTGAACTATATTTATCCAAGTCTAAATTCTAAATGTATTTATGGCTCGTTGAACAGCAGATCACTTTATCCAATCTGATACTAGTCTGACATACATTGTTAAAAGAAAGTTTATTTTCTGCAGTATAATATGAATGCAATGTAAGCAAGAGAAACATAATTATCAAGTGTCATGGCAGTTTTCCTTTATCCTTCAGTGAAGTTTCATGCACTAAACTAAGTTCTCAAAACCATTCTCTTTTTATGTAGGCACAGTTTCAAATTGCACACAATAAGAGTGTAGTTGAAATAATAATATATTGTTGTATTTAGTTACAGATAGCAAGTGTTAGTGTTTCAATATACCCTGTGCATACAGTTATTAAAATTCCTAATGCCCTCTTCATTTTCACTCAGGAGTCAGAAAGTCTCATTCTGGAAGCAAAGTTGTGCATTTAATGACTTCACTACATGGTGTTTTCTTGGTAAGATAATATCTGTAATTGTCTATTATTTATAAATTACAAAACGCATTATTCTTGTGGTGTCTTGGTCCCATCATATTTGATGAAAAACTAATAGCATAATTTAGTTTCCTTGGAGCAGAATTTTCTGTCCTATTAAGAAAGATCAGCCTGTACAAAACATTTAAGCCATCATTTATTACAGAATATGGCATATCTGTACACAAATGAAACTGGAAGAACGATGGTAAAAACCAACCAGATGGGGGCAGTACTTGTTCATCTGGTAATAAGCTTTTCATAACTCAAGCACTAAAGTGTTAGTCAGCCATCTCAAGTACTCACATTCTCAACCTTTACCTTAAAATCTACAATAAATCACACAGATTTAAAACTAGCTTTGGTTAGATGCCAGAAGCAGAAGTTCCAGACTGGCTTATTAGTACAACAGATGGCCAAAAATTAGCAGACCTGTAAAGAAGGTATTGATAAAGGATAATTAGCATGAAAATAATTGTTATAATTCCATACTTCCATCTTAATTCTTAACTCACTTACGGCACCAACTTTGATTCCTTGGAATAATGGAAGAAATTATATGCACACACAAGCTGCTTTTATCAGAGCAGTAGATCTAGTAAAGGTTATAGATAAAGCCCTCTTATAAATTATTAAATATTTTAACGATAGCTCTTTCAATTAATTACCACTTAATTCTTTAAATTATTTCTAATTTATTTAAAGTAAATTATGAATAAGTAATATTGTGACATAACAATTTCAATATATGAAACAATAACTGTCATAATATTAATAATAACAGTATTGCTGTGGTCAAACACAAAATCAGAGAGGATGGAAGAATTGTACCTCAGGCTATATAAGGAGAAATTGAATTGTATTGTAATATTTGCAGTGAGAGAAAGGATTACTGCAGGTGTTCAAGGTAAACCTTGAGCTGATGCTGATGCAATTCACAATGTCATGTTGAGCACATTTTCTCCAGATTGTCCTCGCAATATGATTGCTTAGTCACGTCTCAACAAAAATCTTTTATATGCATCCTGCTTTAATAATACACACAAAATTGACAATAAATTGAGAAAAATCAGGTACTTCTAGACCCTTTTGAAGAATAAGACTTGCCTGGGGAAGCTGCTGTCCACATAAAGGTATTTTTGTGAGAATATCATTGTACTCCCTAATGGGCTTCTTCAAATTGAATCCATTTACTTATTTTCAGCACACATTTGAAGTGTCTTGTTTCAAAAATGTATAAGACTAAACTTGTTTTTTTTTCACATCTGCAGTGCAGACATATACAGTAGACCATTTTACAATGAACCTGGATTAGTGAGAACTTCACCCTTTAATAGCTGTGGTACATTGTAGGTCTGTATTCTAAATGGCCTTACACAGAGATTTATTACACAGAGGCTTATGCAATGACAAGTAGAAGCACTTTATTTTTTTCCCACACACTTTTCCATCCACTTCACTGACATGTGTATTTATTTTGAACCATTGTACTGATACAAGTCTGATACGTGTTCACTTTAAAAGGTTTTTGAGAACCTGGCCAATTAAGGCTCAACTCCAACGAAAAAAAAAAAAGATCACTGCTGTTTTCATCTTAGATATCCATCATCTTAATTGGTCTCTATTAGCTTTTTGTTGACACAATTCACAGCCCTTCTCATTATTCTTCACATCCTTGTCCCAGGATGTAAGTCTCAAATAAAAGAGACTTCATCAAAATTCATAACAAAAGAGAGATATCAATGAAATTTTAAAGTGTAAGAAGCCTGTAATATACTTTAAAAGAATATGGTTTAAACAGAATGTAATGTTTTCGGATACTACTTGCATGTTTATTATAGTTTCAATTTATATTAAATACAATTTGTTGAACAAAAGAGTGCTTTTTTGACCCACTTAAGTAGGACTTAAATGCGTCTTAAATGCATCTTTATATGTAATTTTATAATTATCTATTATATACAGTATTATCTTTGAAATATGGTTAAGTGTACTGTCTAATCTCTGTACAGACAAGCATTCACTGTAAGCTAAAATATACTTTGTAATTTCTATTGAAACATGTATGTCGTGTATTTAAATATATGCGACCCTGGACCACAAATCCCGTCATAGCAAGGATATATTTGTAGCAATAGCCAACAATTCATTTTATGGGCCAAAATTTTTTATTTTTTCATTTGTGCCAAAAATCTTTAGAATATAAAGATCATGTTCCATGAAGACATTTTGTAAATTTATTACTGTAAATATATAAAAACTTTTTTGATTAGTAATATGCATTGCTAAGAACTTCATTTGGACAACTTTGAAGGTGATTTTCTCAATATTTAGATTTTTTTGCACCCTCAGATTCCAGGTTTTCAAATAGTTGTATCTCAGCCAAATATTGTCCTATCCTAACAAACCATACATCAATGGAAAGCTTATTCATTCAGATTGAAATTGAAAAAAATGACCCTTATGACATAATTACGTATTTGTAATTACACATTTGTAATAATGACTTTAAATTTAATAATGTAATATTGAATAAAATATTACAGTTAAAATAATAATCAAATACTTTACATGTGTTTTAGTATGTTAGTGTACTCTAAGTAAAAGTGGCCTTTTATCTCATTAATATTAATCTATTTGCAAGTACACTTTAAAAATATGGATATGCTAGATTTGAAGATTTCAAGTGATAACTAAATTAATTACGTGCATTGCTTTCTCACAAGGGGCAGTTCTCTCAAATAAATAAATATGTCATTATTCACTCTATCAGCATCATTTACCTTTTTGTCTTTTTACAAAGTTGTTTTGAAGAACCCTACTGACTTTCATTGTATGGACAAAAACAATGAAAAATAAATTTGTACAGGTCATGAGAGTATTTTAAATACTCTTATATAAATACCAACTTATGTATGGTATAATGTACTGATAGTGTTAATAAAAGCCATACGACAGTTCTTCCAGCAGTTTCAAATGTTCCTCAGACAAAGTAGAAACTGGCCGACCTTTTTTTTTTTTCTTTTTTTTTTTACTTTTTATTGGCTTGTTGAATTAGGTTAAAAACACAATGAGAGAATTTATTTAATACAGTTGATTAATTCAGTTGGTTCTACACCTAATTGTTTCAAGGGTTTTAATTACAGTTGAATACACATGTGATCAATAAACAATTGCTCCACAAAAGACCTGGTCACCAAATACTTTGGAAGTACACGTGTCTTGATTATTTTGCTTTTCACATCTGTGACATTCTTATGGACATAAAGTTGCTTCAGCATGCATATCTTTCACCTTTACCTTTCACTCTCTCAAATACATTTGTATAAATGCAAAATATTACCTCGGGACTGTTTATTATTTTCAGAAGAATTGATGACATGACTTCTGCTGAGACAAGAACTCGCAAACAGTTGTGAAGTTGTGAATGGGTTGTGAGCTATCCCGTGATATTGTTGCATTGGTTGTCTGCTATGTTAACTTGGCATTAAAGAATGGGATCAAAAGACCTCATAGAATCCTTCCAAACAATTATTTTACTGATCTGACAATACTTCACGTAAGACATAACCTAATATGGAGGCTGGATACCAGATGTTTTCTGCATTGCTGTCAACATGCAGCATTGTGTGGTAATATTGTTTCCACCGCAGCCCACTTAAGAAAGGCAACAAAGCAAAGTAAACTGAAGAATGTAAATCTATTGATGTGATAATGAAACACAAAGTTGCATTTGCAGACTCCAATGACTAACTACCTTATATGGAGTAGTTTGTAACAAAGGGCTAAAATAATCCAGTCTAATTACAAAGATGACCCTCGGCCATGTGCTGGAGAGGAATCTTGTTATCTCTCTAAAAGAACTCTGGGTTTCAGATGGAGCCAGAAACTTTGACAACTCTTACAGCAAAAAATTCAACTTTACACCTTGGAATTTTGGTTCATTAGTTTTTCAGTGCGAGTAGAGATATGTGACCTTATTACACTTATGAGACCAATTACAGAGGCAAGGTTAGAGAATTACAGTGCCACTGGAAGAATACTCTTGCTAATTTGTCATATTCTGATTCTTTATAGTAACTGCCCTAATGCTGACCTTTTAAATAAAACTTTGTTCCTCATAATTTAAGGTAATGTGTAAGCCTTGCACCAGAAAATATTTTCCTCAGTTTTTGTTATATAATATTGAATATTTGTTTGGAAGATGTGTGGATATAATTTTCATGTTAAAGATTTGAATGTGTCAAACATGGAGTTTTGGTAATGAGCGAATGACATCCTCTAATAATAATAATGTAAGTGGATACTGACCTTACAATGCAACATTGCTTAAAGATTGCTAGCTTACTGTGTGCTGAAATTGCAAGTGAAAACATTCCATCTCACAATGTTTGAGTTACAAGCATTGTTTGCTTGCATCAATATACCTCCAAGTGGCGTCAATGTATATTTACACAGACTGCTTAATGCAGCTCGGAGGTGTGTAATGACTTTG